TTCACTCAAATCACATGACACTAATATCAAAATAGACAAAAGAGTATCATAGTAACATGTTATCAGAGTATAAATTCCCAAAATCACTAAGTGCGGAAAACATAGGGTGATGTGGTGCGATCAAGCCGATCCCTTCCCCTTCGAACTGGAGTACCTGAAACATAAACTGAAAACTGTAAGCACAAAGCTTAGTGAGTTCCCCCAAAATACCACATACTAAATAAACATACTGCGAAGCATATCTGAGTGCTTGCCTACCCCTTCAGTCTATTTCAACCGGATACTATCAAGCATATATGGGTGCTTGCCTACCCCTTCGGTCTATTTCAACCGGATACTATCAAGCATATATGGGTGCTTGCAATCCCCTTCGGTCTATTTCAACCGGATACCGGGTCTATCTCATCCCCTACTACTACCACATAATATAATAACAGAAATCACAGAGTCATCAAGCAAATACAGGCATAACTGACAATTGTCACAAAGACAATCATCACACTACATCATAGACTAGTGGGCCGACATTGGTGCCTTTGACCCATGGATACTGCGAAAGAAGACTCGCCTCAGACTGAAGATATGAAATTTCACTCGACAGATGACTCATGAAAACCTCTTCCTAACGCACAAGCATAAAACCCTAATTAGAAATTAGGCCACACTCCAACTCAAAGGTCCAAACCCTAATTCTTGACTTAAGGTAAAAAACGCTCCTTTATCCTTGCCTCCATGGGCCTCCCTCCCCCCTAAGGCCCAAATCTATTAAAAGCCCAAAAAGGCATCCAAGCCCAACTACAAGGCCTATAAGGCCCAATATGGCCCAAGAACACCTAACATGGTCTTAGGCCCAAACATGTCCTGTTACAATAGGTGGGCCTGAGGCCCAACCTAAAGAAGTCCAAAAGCCTAACACTAATCGAGCCCAAAATTCATCTAAGCCCACAGACTTCATACGCGCAGCGTACACGGCTCATACGCCCAGCATACGCTAATGCGCATCTAAAGTCGGGACACTCACCCAGTACGCACACCGTACTCTATAGTACCCCCCAACGTACTGGCCAGTCAACCCAACTCATTTCCATGTCTTAATCCATTCAACCTTTACGTCCAAAACATATATCCAAGCTCAAAATAACGTCTTAAGCCATAAAGTTTCAAACTTTATGCTTTTGCATGCATAAATGGGGCTTAAACCATGAATTAAGTCACTTAACTCACTTGGATGGTCACTAACACTTGCATGGTTGAGTCTTAACAACCAAGATCCGATTTTTATGACTCAAAACAGTTCCAAGGGTCCAAAAGGACAACTCAAATGGCCTGGAGTTACTCATACTCCAAGAAGCCAAGCTATGGGACCAAAAGATGCCATATTCTACCCTAAACCTAGATCTAAGCTTGTAATGATCAAGGTTCAAACTTTATACCTTAAATAGGCTAGAAATGGTGCACAACCTCTGGATATACAAGCTCCTTCTTCTCCTTTGCTTCTTCCCAAACCTCCTTCTTCTTCAAAACCACCAAAGAACACCAAAATACTCAAGTTAAGCTCAAAGATGCACTCAAGAAGGTTAGGGTTCGAGATTGACACTAAACGGGCAGTGGAGGCTGAGATGGTAACGAACTTGAGGGCCATAAGTTCTTTAAATAGGGTGCAAACCCTAAAAATTAGGGTTTACCCCTGGCTTGATTACGCCCATCGTACGCATGGGTACGCCCAACGTACGTAGGGGATCACTTGATGAAGCGCATGCAAGGAGTACGTCGTGCGTACCAAATATACGCCCAACATACTCACGAGTCCCCCACCACCTTTTTACTTAGATTTAAATAGAATGAATCAATAACTCATACTTGGCGACTCGGGTGCTACAGTTCTCCCCCACTTGAATTAGACTTCGTCCTCGAAGTCCGCTGCTGGAAATATTCTGGTTAATGCTCTCTCATCTCTTCCTCCGGCTCCCACATCCATTATGAGCCCTTTTAGTGCTGCCAATGCACCTTAACCAACTCAACCGCCTTGTTCCTCAAGGTATTTGTCTTCCTGTCGAGGATCGCTATTGGTCTCTCGATATAGTTCAGGCGGTCGTCCACCTAAATGTCCTCCAATAGAACCACTGTGGAATCATCAGCCAAATATTTCCGCAGCTGCGAGACATGAAAAGTACTGTGAATCTAACTGATCTCCTCCGGAAGTTCTAATCGATACACTACCCTGACCACCAGGGCTATAACCCTGAAAGGACCGATATACCTGGGGCCTAGCTTGCCCTGCTTCCTGAATCCAATGACACATTTCCAAGGTGACACCTTCAGGAGAACTATATCCCCAATCTGAAACTCCAAGTCTCTTCAATACGTAAAGAGATCTAAGCATTCAAAAGCCAAGGTATGAACTTGATACCTCAAGAGGCTTGCATAATGAGGGGGGATTTTGGATCTAAAGCTTCACACCAAGCAATGAAACTTCACTTTTCTTCAATTCCTTCAAAATGAGCAAAACACCAAATTCTCCTCAAGAGCTCAAATGCACATCAATGGAGGCTAAGGGAAGATTTATAGGGTTTTGGGGGCTTGGAGGCTGGTACAGAGACCAACCCTAAAGACTTGAAGTGCTTATATAGGGCACAACACCCTAAATTAGGGTTTCCACTAACTCCTCGTTCGCCTAGCGTACGAGGTTTCGCATCCACGATCAGCCCTTCCTAGTACGCTATGTACACTAGTGTACACCTCGTGTACCGCACCTCGCACCAGTACGCCGTGCGTACTCTCTAGGTACGCCCCGCGTACTAGGGTTTCCCTTAAACCCTAATATACTCCGAAGGCAATAACCTCCTCATTATAAATCCGATTTCGACAATCCTTATATCCATGAAAAGGTAACGAGATTCTCTACGCTTTAATCAACTCATACTTGCCTTACAATTTCCCAAACAAAAATCCAATTTCCATAAAAGCCCGAACTGACATATTACCAAAATACCCTTTGGCTCCAAAACACAAACCGAACACCCGAATCATCTAAATTACATCATCCACCTCAAAATGAGTCTAGATCTCAATTCCTCAAAGGTCCTAAGTCTTCTAATACCCGATCCTTGATCACCACCCCAAAATAGGAAACGATTCAGAACATGGTGTTTCTAGTAAATCTAATTAGAATCATATTTGTGAGTTAAAGAACAAAATTTAAATCGAAGAAAGAGATCTGAACAAAGAACTTAAGATCAGTTTGCAGAAGAACTTGAAAAATTCGAAAACGATCAAAAATTCAAAGTAGAAATCTGAAGGACACAAATCAGTTGCTCTGATACCACTTGATATATTTTTAGGAACGAAATGATTCTAATAAGAGAACAACATGATCAAGAGAAAGATTATGAACACGATGATGTAAATAAAATCAAACTTTCATTAGAGAGTACAAAACAGTTTGGTACAAGAGTAGGGAACTATTCTGTCAAAAAGTACTCTCTTTTCTAACTAACTCTTCTATATATATTATCCCGAAAGAGAGTCAGAAAGGAACAAGTCTAAGTCAACAACTAAGCTGCGAACCTAAACATAAACAAATATCGGAAATGGAAACAACACACCTCACATACTGAAGTGAAGACTTTATCTATACAAGACAACTTGCAAACACAGTCGCTTACAAGAGTTGACACAACATAAATCCCGAAACCTAACAAGTTGTTATCGATTCTTTAATTGAATTTCGAGTAGATGTCATTTTAAAACATAAATTGGATAGGCTTGCTTAAAAATCAATGTATAATCCTTTTTTATGTAATTTCTTAGGTCTAACTAGTTTTTGAACATTCCTATACAAAGACAAGATATACTACATTTATGAATAGATCCATAATTAAATATTTTGTCTCATAACAAAGATTTGAATAATTTTGGATAGACCTGAACAGGTTATACAAATATATCACATCATGTTAGGCTTGTGTTTAGTTAAAACATTAAACCAATTTCGATTTGAAAAAATTGATCCTTACTTTACCCATTTAACTTTCGTGTTATGTTGTGACAATAAATTTACTTAAAATGAGTTGGAACCTTTAACTCGGACCCATATATTACATGTTAATGTTTAAGGTTGAGACATTATAATCGTGTCCTATCGCATTAATGAAAATATTTAATGGGTTAAAAGAATTTGATACTAACATTATTATGTATTTATTTTTCATGTCATGCCATATCAACATGTATATTTAAAGGTTTAGACATTACAATTGTGTTGTTTGCCACGAAGATAGATGAAACCGAATCCGAATGCATAAGAGAAAAGTAAGACACCAACATTATTTGATCGAATCGTGAATTAGGTTACTGATATAAGTGAAGGATGAGCCGTACATGAGAACACTTCATTAATGATTGTCCCACATATGATGTCGTGAACAAAATCTTAAGAAACCGGTCATAAAAACCGGTCATAAAAACCAAATACGTACAAAAACATTAATGACTACATGTTTACCAACTGAAAGTTATATTACCCAATTAAATAATATTTCCGGATAATCTAAAATAACCGATTATAAAGACTGAATATAAAAAAAAAAAAATAAATGATCAAATATACAAAAAAAAAAAAAAAAAAATTCTAATAACTAATTACATATAATAATAGCAGCCAATAAAAAATATATTATCCACTTAAATTATTATCCTTATTTTATATTACGGTAATGTTAGGTTAAGGTATCATATCACATTTTGATAGGTTTAGTTGTGGATAAATTTTGAAAGAAGTGGATGGTATTACACGCTCTTAAGAACGCGTGAAGAAAGGTATCTATGGAGATAAAACTTCTCTCCCACACGAATTAGGCCCTCTCTGTACGACTGCGCGCATTACGCACCCTTCTCTCTCTCCTTTTCCCTTTTTTAGGTTTAAGCCAAAGCTAATTTTACAATAATACCCTCCACCTCATATATATTTCACAATTTGATTTTATTTTCTTTATATTTTTTTCAAATAAAAATTAAGAACAACCAAACCCTAGAAGATACAAAACACAAATTGGTGATACCAGAGTTAAACAAACATCAATTCATCTTAATAACAACTCATCGATACACATTCATCTTCGAATTTGAACAAAAAGGTTAGTGATTTTGTTTATTTTCTCGTTTTGATTCTTTCCCCAATTTACTGGTTTTGTTTCAATCGTTTCTGTAATTTATTCAATTTTATTTTCTGTAGTTTATACTGCTTAATTTTTTATTTTTTTTGGATGATTGGAGTTATTGCTGTATATCTTGTTGATTGTTTTGCTTAATGAGTTTAGGTTTTGGGGGATTAAAGTCAAGTATTCATATTTATTAAATTTAAATACTTGACGCTTTGATTCGATCATGCTTTTTGCTGTAGAGGTAATTCCGATGTATTCCGATGATATTTCAACTTTTTATTGCTAATTCTTCTTTGTATAACGATTAACAGATTCTCTGTTGCTTGCTTTCAATCACTTGTTTATAGTTTCATCATCTTCAAATCGTTCATCTCCTATCTTTCTTTTTTGTTTTCTGGTAATCTAGTTTATACAAAGATCTGCGTTGATTTAAAACAAAGTGACAGTTGTAAATTTATGTAATATCTGCTAATCTGGATTGATAAACAGAAGTTCCGGATCTTTATCCCTTGTATACCTAACAACTAACAATTGATCTGTGTTTTCACATGTTCTGTTTGCTTTTCTTATCTATCTTGTTCATATATATGTTTCGGTTCTTGTTTCTGATGTTAGATTCTTCTTCTTTTCTTTGTTGTTGCAGGTTTTGTGTAAAATCCATTCCATTCACAAGAATTAAAAATACAATGAGGTTCAAAAAAGGTAGCAAAATGGAGGTTATGAACAATGTTAGTTACTATGATTATGAAGGTGGTGTGGAAAAGGTATCTAGGAGATTCATCAAGCCTTTTGTAAGAAAGAAGATTGGTTCAAAGATCTGTCAGGAAGAAGAAGAAGATGCATCTAGGAAACAAAAGAGAGCTTCCCCTTTTTGCTCATCTGTTCATGAATCAAGTCAAAAAGTCAAACCTGGGAGTCAAAGAAGATATGTTTCATGCGATTCTTATAAAAAGGTAGATAACAACAATAGTTTAAATGGTTATTATGATGAAATGGAGAAAAGAAAAAGAATATCAGAACCTAATGATGAGTCTGATACTGATAGTGACCAATGCTCTGTTGGTAGTTGTAGTGTTGTTCCTAATCCTAGTGATGATAATAGTGATGGGGAGTCTTTGAATATTTCAAGTGATGACGTGGCAGTGAGTATTCATAGGTTAGAGTTGCATGCTTATCGATCCACTTTGGAGGCATTATATGCTTCTGGCCCATTAAGTTGGGAAAAAGAAGCATTATTGACAAATCTTCGAATTAATCTCCATATTTCAAATGATGAACATTTGATAGAGCTAAGGCATTTAATTTCTTCTGGAGTCAATTGACTTTTTTTTTTTTTTTTTTTATCAAGATTAGGGTTTTCTTGTACAATTCCAATAAAGATGTAAGAAGTAATATAAGATGTTACCCAAATCGGTTTCGATTTTGTAATTAGTCATGCAATGTATTTTATGAGATGAAAATTGAAATCAAGATCCCATCTTGTTATATTATTATTTATTTTTTTCTTTTATAATGTTTAATTAATAATGATGGTGTACGTTTTCCAGAGTTACAAAATTGGAGGCATGCATCTTTTGCTTCCAAAGATCCAAACAAGATTCTGATTCTGCTGCCTTTCTGTTGGAAAAAAGTTTTGCAGGATCCATTTGCATTTGCTACTTCAGATAAGATATAGTTTTTGTATCTTAGTGTTCTTGTTAAAAACAAGAATGTCTTCAGATTGCTCTTTGATTATCCAAAATGTTTCCTTTTTGGTCCTCTTGTTACCATTTTTATTGGTGTTTCTTTCCCTTTAAAGAAGTCAACATTTCCTGTTTATTAACTATCAACAATTCAATGTTATATGCATGTATATTAACTCCAATGCAGGTTTATTGTGAGAAGAATCCTCAAAAGGAACTGTAAGTATTAAAGATTCTTTTTTTTTTCATAGATCTTTGTTAGTAACAATGTAAGAGAATGATTGTTTAATAGCTGTTGATTGAGTCAAAGATCTGATTGAGTCAATGTCTGACTCCTGAATTTGAATCTGACCGAGTAAGAGGCATATCTGAGGAGCCAGGTTCTAAGTATGGTATCAAACAGTCTGAATCTGACCCAGTCTCGGTCTGAGTAAGAGGAATAGAAACACAACAAATACATTATTTGGATACTTGTGGGCCATGAATCATCAAATTGTGGTAACTTTATGTGACACATTTATTTGTTGATCATAATGGATTTGATGTTATCTTTATTGCTTTTGAGGATCTTTTTTATCCTTTTATGGCAGGGAGGTGATAGGTTATTAATGGTAACTTTTGATTACCAAATGTTGATGATGATAAGGGATGTTGTGTGTTTCGAGATGATGATGAAACAAACGTGTATTCCAAGGTAGTTTGAATGATGGAACAACATTTGTTTATAAGATGATTGTGGGAAAAGGAACACTTTCTGTTATAGGATGACAAGTGTGTTCTAAGTTGGGGAGGATACATATGTATACAAGCCATTAATTATATAAAAGAATATTGCATAATATTTAAAATAGTTCATTTTTATTATTGTTATCATTAATGACATGAAAACTTGTGGAACTCATTATAATTTCAAGTTTGCTTTGTATGGTAGAGTGACATGCCCTTGGGACCAGAAGGGATGTCACATATGGCATTTAGGTACTGCAAATGAACACCATTCCAGGTGTTTAGATACCTCAATTTTCATCCTCTCTGCATTAGATGGTTGTAATATATTGCTTTGGTACTTGTACATTTGCTATGGTTGACCAGATGAGAAAAATAGCTAATGTGATGATGATGTGGAAGAGAGGATGCTAGGGATGGAAATGATCCATACTCACCACCCTAAGTAGAAATGTCAAATCAAGTAATTGTGTTGTGTTTTTGTCTGACACGATACAATGGCACGATAAATTTTATTTAACATGATGTCATGGTTTTTCTACTAACACGGAAGCGACTCAATTAAGCAAACACGACAACGATGATATAAAATAATCATCAGTTTATTTAGATCATACTTAATAATACAAAACATGACAAATACAAGAAATACGAAAAACATGACAACCACAAGTTAATATTGTGTCGAACTTTTAGCACAAACATGACATCGTGTCGTGTTTTCTACACTAGGTACAAACACGACACAAATTCAAATTAAATTGTTTAAATTTCGTTATGTGTCATATTTTTGTCGTGTCATGTGATCAATTGACACTCCTAAAGATATGGGCAAAGTAATAATGTTGGTAATGACAATCAGAGCAATAATGTATAATGGAGGTAAAAGGCAAAGTAATTAGGAGATTGCCACATAAAACAATAAAGTTTTGCAAACAGGCTTGATTGTGGAATCTATGCACAATTTGTAAGACAAGTTTTGCAAACAAGCTTCATTGTCTATGCAAAATTTGTATGCCAAGTTTTGCAAACAAGCTTGATTCTTGAATCTATGCAAAATTTGTATGCAAAGTTTGTGGAAGATATAGTGACTTAGGTTGGATCGGTCTCTTTGAAACCTGTAATCTTTGATCAAGAAAGAGAGTTAAAAAAACACAATCTATTTGGTTCTTATTAGGGTTGTAAACGAACCAAAAGAACATGAATGTGTGCTTGTTCATGTTTATTTAAGTTAGCCGAACAAATGAACGAACACGAATGGATAACGAACAAGTTTTCTTGTTCATGTTCGTTCGTTTAACAAATTACATCATTCATGTTCATCCGTTTATGTTCGTGAACATGCTAAACGAACATAAACAAATTAATATAAACGAACAAATATAAAGAAACATAATTGCACACATATGACTATAAATGAATAATGTGCATTTTTAATGCATTTGTTTTAAATTTATAATTCATAGTCTATCGCATATAAATCATACCTTACATGCAGTGAACCTGATAGAGTATAGTATAGTTTTGATAAGCGAGGGTGTCGAACTCAAATGGAACGGTAGTGAATTAATATTAAAATATTTAATTATAGGTTATACTAATAAAAAAACAATAAAAGGGGGTTTTATTATTAAATCTCAAGAAATCAATAACTAAACTAACTAAATAAACTGATTGGAAATGAATTACTGGTACTTTGGTTCAAATTAGATTAAATCTCAAAATTATGGAAAATTACTGTAGTGAAAAGGTCATTTATTCATTATTTACTGATTCTTAAATTGATTCATGTATTTGGTCCATACACGAATACTAATGACGCTAAAGACTTTTAATTTCATCGTCATGCCATTAATTATCCCTAAATTAATTGTTCAGTTCATATCACGTAAGATTTAATTTTTATTAATCTTAAAGATTATTAGAATTAAATCATGCTAAGATTAGTGATTTAAAACATGCACACACATTAAAGTTCATAACTTTATTAACTTATCCCTAGGTTTACTAGTCACAATTATTTTATGGTAATAAAACAACTATGATTCATGAATATATAACTAGATTGTTCTTCTAATCACGTAAACTAAAAAAATAGGTAATAAAGTAATGAGTTTTAACACAAATCTTCAATCAAACTTGACATCATAAATTAAATAAGAATAAACAATTCAAATAGCAATTTAATCCAAAATCGCATGATTCATCTAATCTAAAACGCAAAACAAAAGGTTTTAACACCAAAATTCAGAAAGTAAAAACAGAAGGAACACAATCAGAATATTAATCATGATCAGAAAAGCAAACCGAAAGATTCCCATCATGAATTCGCTCTCGAATCGTTAAGATCTTCACTCCATATCGGCTTAACAACCCTCCCGCCGCCTTGTAGACTCTCAAAATCGTAGCCCCGATGTTTATTTTCAAAGAAAACGAAGTGAAATGTAAGATATATTTTTAGGGTTAATTTTCGGCTTAATTTATAGGTTTCAACATCGCCACGGTGTGGTAATCCCTTTGTCACGCCGTGGTATCGGGATTCCGTGTTGGACATGAAGTCGTAAACCGCCTAGGGAAAAAAACATGATTTTTGCAGAATTTTCATAAGGCGCGGCGCGCCATATAAAGGACGTGACACAACTTCTGCGTCTTTTTCGGTTTTGTCGTTTTTTGTCAGTTTCAGCCCCATTCTTCTCCTTTTGCATCCCAGCTCCCATTTTAACTGTAAATGAAGATTTCAAATCATATTAAGTATCATATATCTTATAATATAGCATTTTTATTCAAATATATTAAGATAATGGCCTAAAATATATAGTTAAATAAAACCATATCAATCAACATATAATATAGTAATGTAATCAAACACAATTAAGCATATATGAACACGAAAGGGACTTTTATGAACGAACATAAACGAACGAGTAACACCAAGTTTTAAGATGTTTCTAATACCATGATAATGGGCCGCAAATAGATCGAGTAAAGGTATTGGTCTTCAAGAGAATATAGTCTAGACCCTTTTGGATGTTGATAATGTAGGATTGAGTGATTTAATCCCTCGATTTGTGCTTTGAATCAAAAGGGTAAAATGAGAAAAGTAATATTCGGGTTTCTTGCATGAATTATGGTTTTAGATTGACATATATTAAGTCAAAAGTAATTATATAGAGCTGTGGGGCTCGTCAATACATTTCCTTTCATATAAAGGCCGCTAAAAACAAAGTTGAAACGAAGAAGTTATGACGTTTTGAGGTTGGAGTGGAATTGGGTGAAAACCCGTCGTCACGAGGTGATAGGCATGTTTTCACGATGTGAGAGCTGTCACGAGGTGACAAGCATATTGTCAGTACATGAGAGTTGTAACATCCAGATTTCCAGGTATAACGTTTTTAATGTATTTATTTCGAGTTGTGGAGTGACTCGATGAGTTGGTGCCTCACCTCGTCGAGTAGAGTCGCATTCGGTGACATGGATTAATGAGGTGACTCGACGAGTCTGTGAGCTGACTCGCCGAGTCAGCGCTGCTGATGGAAACCCTAAATTCTCGGGTTTGTGCCCTATTTAAGGACACTTATAGCCTCCATTCCGTCTCACCAGCACCCTTACACCCTTGAGAGAAACCCTAACGTCCTTAGTGAGCTTGAGTAGAGAGGATAGCTAATCTTGTGATCTTTTTGGTTCGTTCTATTAAAAAGGAAGGGAGTTTCATCACAAGAGCAAGAATGAGGGGCCAGTGGATCTGTTCTTCTTCATCTCAGGCTTCAGTTAGAGGTAAAAAGCTTTTACCTTTCCTTGCAGAATGGTTAGATCTCATGTTCTTGAGATTTAGGGCTTGCATCACCTTTTGTTGGGGATTTGAATGCATCAAACCCCTTGTTAAGTCTAGACTTCAGATCTGGACCTTATGAGGTCCAGAGAGTCCAAAAGTTCAGAACTTTAGTAGCCCAAATGAAGAGATTTACATTGTGGAAACATTAATGGAGTGATGGTGGCATATGGAGCAAAATATGCCATGCATGACCATCAAGATCGAAACTTTACGTAACTTTTGGACATTGGAAGGCTAGATCTAGAGATTGGAGTTGCAAATCTGATTTCAAGTGCCCAAGTATGGAACTCGATTGGATAGACTCGTCGAGTCTATAGGAGGACTCGACGAGTCGTGTCGGGTTTGTTCCAGCGTTCTTGACCCAGTGATACTCGACGAGTTAGGGGGTCTTACTCGACGAGCGGAGAGAAACCCTAGCAAGACCTCTGAGGAGACGAGTGGACTCGGCGAGTCACATAGGTGCACTCGGCGAGTCAGGTCAACTCTGACAGTTGACTTGTATCGACTCTGTTGACTTTGAAGATGAGTCACTTATGAGCATTCGAGACCATGGAGGGGTAAAACAGTCTTTTACCCATCCCAAGTGTTATAAAGGGAATAAGAGAACTTGTGGTGTTCCATAGTAGGAATAGGTATTGATTAGTGATGCATGTCTAACGTTTTAGGCGGAGGCTAGTTCGAGGTTTCTGAGTACGTGTCTATTACCTGCTAGCTCGAGGTGAGTCTTCTCAACTATACATACCTAGAGTGGTAATTAGAGTTATGTGACCAGAGTATCTTGTATGTTGATTGTGATATACTGCATCATTCCTATGTGATTTATGCTATGTATTGTTTAGAGTTAGGACCGAAAGGTCCACAGAGTTAGGACCGGTGGGTCCACCAGAGTTGTGGGACTGGAGGGTCCCACTGAGACACATTGACCAGAGGGTCTTTCAGAGTTATAGCCTCGTGTGGCTAATGCATTACTTGTGATATTTTGGGGAACTCACTAAGCATCTGTGCTTACCGTGTTATGTGTTATGTGTTTCAGGTATTACTGATGATCGCGGGAAGGCACCGGCTTGATTGTACACACACAACCGAGATGGAGTTATATTTGTTTTTGGATCCTGGTTTTATGATAAACAATACTTGAAAAATTGATATTGAAATTTGAGGTTTTGGTGAAATGTGACATGTGATTTATCGTAATTGAAATTTAAAATTTGGCTTAAAATTTTACGTCATTACAAGTTGGTATCAGAGCCTTGGTTTGAGGGA